ATAGATTTCAGAGTAGAAAACTCTTTCATCAGTGTTTGGAATTCGTTCATAGTAGGCAGAGAGGTTGGTTCAGCAGGTGGAGGAGCTGGAATTTCAGTAGGATGGGGAGTGGAGGTTGAAGGTCTAGCAGATTCCATGCGTTGGAAGAGTTTATCTGCTAGCTTGGAGGGGATCTCTTCTGAAAAGAGGTTTTCAGATGGAGGTGGAGGTGGTGATGATGGAGGTGGAGGTGGTGATGAAGGAGGTGTTAGACCTACAATGGTTTGTTTTGGTCTATCTGAGTGAGGAGGAGGAGTATCCTCAGATAACTCATTTACTTCTTCAACGAAATCTTGGTCGTGAAGCGTAATGGTTGGGGTACCCTTAGGTACATCAGATGGTGTTTGAAGAACACCAAACTGAGAAGTAGAGGGTTCAGATGGATGGGTAGAGAACGGAGTTGAAGTAAGTGAGGGCTGAGCTATATTTACCTCTGTGTTGATGTCAGTCTGAGAGGTAATTTGTTTGAGAGGCATCTCTTCAGACTGATCTTTGGCAGGGGCTTCTTCTTCATGAGCCTTTTTAGACTGTAAATTCGACTGCCCTGCAGCTGCTTCCTTTTCTTTCCCTTCGAGCTGAGCAGTATGCTCAAGCTCAGGTGATTTAGCTGCCTCTTCATTCTGAACCATCTCAGGTTCTTTTTCAGCTTCTACTGGCTTTTCCTAAGCCACTTCTTCTTTATGCTCCTTCTGAGCCATTTCAGGTTCCTGAGGTACCTTCTCTTCTTCAGCATGCTCAGCAGCGTACTGAGCAGCTATCTGAACAACTTCCTCAAGAACCTTCTCGGGGGAAGGGTCTTGCATCTCCACTTCTGTATCAGCAACTTGCTTAACTTTTGCTGATGAACCTTCTTCTTCTCCTCTTCTTAGAATCAGCTGAGGCCCTGTCACATCAGCTGCCTTGATTTTTTTCCTCTTTCTCAGGGAGACTTCTTCTTCTTCTTCTTCTTCTTCTTCTTCAGGCACCTTCACAGCCTTGCCTGAATCAGAATCAGATACTTCTACTGTAACCTTTTTCCTTTTTATTTCCTTGAATACCTCTATATTCTGCTTCAGAGCAGACTCCAGCTTCTTAGATCTTTCCTGAGCCAGGAAAAGTTTATCCTTCTGAGAAAGAATCATTTCTCTTTCAGCTGGCTCAGAG